CAATGGCACCTTTTAGAACCATTCAAGTTTGTTAAACATTGCTACTGAGTTTTGTTTTGCAGACAATGAGGCCCCAATCCAGCAAAGAAATCTGAGCACTGCGTTCAGTTAATATTTATCCTGAAAAGCTTATGCTGAAGACTTAGTGCTTGGCACTATGCTGTCTGTGGCACACAACCCTAACAAAGGGCAAGCAGCATACTGCTTAGCAATTAGCATCAGTGGAAGGGTTCTACTCCAGTCATTCTATGTAAAGGCATATTTCTGCAAACACAGGCTGAAGTTTGGTCTAAAACAAGTGTTCCTCAGTAGGCCATCACATATACAGCCTTACTTTCATTCTTTTGACCAGCTGAGATTTCATAATATTTACTTAGTAATGTTTCCTTCTTTTGGCTATGTTTGCTGAACAACGTAACTTTCTTTTTAACAACTGATTTAACTGTATGCAATGATGCAAATTATTAGACAAACTGCACCTACCCGCAGCTCTAAAATTTTCCAGCTGTTACGTCAATAAGGTCAAAATATGACCAAGTATTTTCTCAGCATAATATTTCAGAAGAAGTCCTCCAATTTTTTTTTTTTTTTTTAATAGCTGAAATTTGCCTTAATGCTCAGAATGTGATTGCTTGTTTTATTTAACACAAAGTTGTCTGTCAGCTCACTGTGCATCCAATGTAATTACCTGCCTCCTTGACACAGTTGCACCAACACATATTTTCAGTCTACGTACCAGTCTCTGTGTCCAGTGATCAGACATCACTCTGATCACACAGATTTAGACTGTTGTGAGAACTGCCATGAAACACAATTTCCATTTAATTAAAGGCAGTGCAAACATTCCAGTCTCTATGGCTACATCCATCCTAGGACATAAAATGGTCAAAGGCCCATTCTTTGCCCTGATGGCAAGTGGTAAGGCATGGCTCGTAACCATATGGCTAAATTCACCTTTTTCCATCCTGCCTCCTGGGAACAGTCCCTAGGAGCGCTGCTGCCCTGATTGCATCTGGACATCATGTGGAAGCATGGTGGCAAGGGTTAAAAATGTGCCAGAGAACTTGCTGATAATTGATCTGCATGGATCACAGCATAAAGTGTTGAATCCCTGCTCTGCTCCTTTTTAGAGTACTAGTGCAGAAATAGTCTGCAGACATTGCAGAAAATAAAATAAAACCAACTGGAGTGTGGAGAGGGACTTGTATCCCCACATCAGCACCCTCTGGTCTGTTAGGATGGCTTCCTGGCACATTCTATCATGACCAGACTTCAACTAATGGGGTGAATGATCACAAGCCAACACCATTCCATGTTCAGCTTGCCCCCATGGATGCACTTGTATACGTTTTTAGATCACAAACAACATGGCTAAATACTGAAAGTTTTTTAATGAGTTTAAATCAGACTGAATGAACTTCAAGCAACAGGCACGTGTGCGTGCACTGCCAGAGTTATATGGCCCTTGCACTAAGGGATGTAACAGACAGGACCTCAATTCTGTTATTTGTGGCCTGAAAAGTTTGTATCCTTCCCTCCAAGGCAACACTCTTCCAAAATTCAATAGCATTTGGGAGAAGATGCCAAAGGCTTTGTTCAGCAAAAGAAAACTTGCGCATCAGACAAAAAATTCACAGCAGTAAATACATTCTCACCACAAAGCCTTCACTGATGTACTCTTTAACACCTTGTACTTAGATTACAGTTAATAGCATGTATACACGAGGTCACACAGGTGGTGGGCAGAAAGGTTGAGAACAAAGTGTCCCATCATGGATGCTCAGCTGCCAAAGTGCTTCCATGGGTTTGCCAAGCAGTGCTCAGGCTTTCTCTGGTCTTTCAGTCAGGTGACTTCAACAACTTGTACCTGATAGCTGGTAACCCATATGGCATTACCTAGGACAGGACCAGTATGAAGCCAAACAGATGAAGGAGGAAAGAGAAAGGGAAAAATCTCACATTCTGCAATAGAGGCTTTTCCCTTAGCATTTTACAGAAGCTTCAAAGCCGACTGGAACAACTGAAATCACAGGCGGATGTGATTCAAAGCTATTCTGAGCTGGTTAAACTATTTTTAAAAATGTAAAAGCTTTTATTAGCTTAACATTCTATTTCAATCCACACGAGTAAAGCAAAGTGTGTCTTCGTTATTCTGTCAAGATTATGCACATTTCCCTCCTGACTCACAACAGCACTGATCATAATGGTTTTAATTGATATTCATGTGCATGCCATATTTACTTCTGCAGAGTTCCCGTGTAATTGAGCAATAGTTAATGGGCACTTAGGACTCTATTCACAGGAGATTACAAATGTGTGTGTGTACTGGGGAGCTTTTCCCTGTGAGTTTCCATGTGTCTGGATAGGTGCATAATCAGCACGCAGTCATCAGACACAGCAGCTGACACTTGCGGCCCAACGAGGTTGTAATGAGACAAATCCTCAGCTTTTTCCAGATTTGGATTGGACTGGGGGGAGGAGAGGCTGCGGCTGGGAGATGATTAAGAATCAGGGCTGCTCAGCAGAGCTGGAGATGGCATCCCTGAAGGTTTGCTGCTACTGAGGTGAACAGTGCCTTCAGTGTTAACTCCCTCCTGCTAAGCTTACTGTCTGCAATGCAGCAGCCAATTCACAGCCCAAAGCTGTGCTGTGCACTGGTTCTGGACAGCAACAGGACTCAGTGCAGCATCCCCTGGCACAGCACGAGGAAATAAAGCAGGCATGGTGTGACTGCTTGGATTGGACAGTGCCATCTACACATGCATTTAGGGAAGGTTTCAGACGAGGTTAAGTGTGATGTGGTTTTGGCTTCCCTGGGATTTGTGAGTTAATGGGATGAGGGAGAGGAATGAATGACGATGAGCTGCTAACAACACTGCTGCATCAGTGTGTGAAGTAGAAAGCAATACAGATTTTTATTTTCTTCTTTTTTTCATCTTCTTTTTGTCTGCTAGCCAGTATTGCACAGAGTTCAGTCTGCTCTGGTTACTGAGATTAATAGTGTCAGACTCTGGAAATGGTAAAAAGAAATTATTTCATATTTTTATATTCACTTGCAATTTTGAGCTACTGATTTATTTGACTTTTTACTTCCAACCTGATCCCATGCTGGGACATTTCTACTTACATATGAGGTAGTCCCTCAGGTCATAGTCATGACATATTTTCATGAAATCTGAAAGCTTTCCCTTCATTCTTTTTCTCTTAGATGAGATGCCTGGATCAATTTGCAGTTAAAAAAAAAAAAAATGGGGGAGTGGGGGGGAGTGCAGTATTTTCTGATAGTATGAGCTGTGCTTGTCTATAGAACTGTGACTTGTCATAGGATCATGCTTCCAAAACAGAGTCTACAAGCTATGTCTGAAGACAACCTCTGGGCTGCCCACAACGTAACTGCCAACAGCAAAGGAGTGAGATGGGGAAAGAGCTCAGAGTTTCCAAGGACAGAACAAATTACTGCACAGATCAGCAAAATTACCTTTCTCATTAGTCAGGTAACAGTGAAGCTACTTTCCCCTGTAGAAGAAAGCAAAAAAATAATTCTCTCTAGGTTTCAGAATTGTATAGAGTTGATATGACAGAAAGCTCTGATGTGATTTGTGGGGAGACACGTAAAGATATTTGCTACTGGAGTTAAAATACAAGATCACTTATATTTCATATTTCTCACACATGGATTTCCCTGATTTTATCACTATAGTTATTATACTACACTCGTGATGACAACCTTCAGGTGGAACAGCTTCAGGAAGCACAAATGAATGTGTGAATCCCTTCTTATGTTTGTCATGCTTGATATAAGTCTCTACTGTTGAAGAGAACAATAACAGCATTTCGTCTCAGTCCTTTATCACATTCGTTGTGATGTTAAATATTTTGTAGAACTTTTCCATGCCATGATATGATTGAATATGAGAACACTGGCTTTGGATGTCAAAGCCTTGGCTGGCTGAAAATGAGATACTGTTACAAACCAGAAAATTTAGGAACCATCCAAAAAAAGTGGCAGCATTTCTCCTTCACTGAGAATGTTAATCTTCATTTCAAGGCATTCTGTACTGGCACCAGTTCTGATGTGCAGCCTGCATTTGTCCTTGAACTACAGAGGCTGTTCTCCTTGCTAAAAGAGTTCATTTTAGAGAGCCTCCAAGTATTTTCAGTGAATCTCAGTGAGTTCATTTCACCTGTATGACTAAATCTTGCTTTTCAGATGAGATATGAAATAAAATCCAGAAAAAATCTGTTCCTGATCTTACAAGAATTCTCAGTTCTTGATCAGTTCCACGGGCTTTCTTAGACCAATCCAAAAACCAGACCCACATACATTCCATGGAGGGTTATAACACTCAGCAATAACTTATGGATTATAGTACTAGTCCACTGTATGCAATACTTAGATGCAGTGTCTTCCTCTTAAGTAGCTTATTTCCACCTTTCCATTTTACTTTTCACTTGAATCCTCCAAGGCAGACAGAATCATAGGTTGGAATTTTTTCCTATATGCATAACTTTCAGTTCCCATGGAAGACTAAGATATTTACTGAGCATTACAGATTCAGTGGGGTTTATAACTATCCACCTATGAATTAGACATAGCATCACTCAGAAATCCAGTTGTCTATTGCCCCATCATAGTTGCAACCAAAAGACTAGCAATTAAACTCTGCCGAGTTATATAGTTACTTCATCAGTATCTGCAGTAGAAGGCTTCCTCCATTAAAGAATTATCTCATGAGATGGTAAATGCCAGATTCTGACCTTATCAAGAGCTCTCTGAGTGAACAGTACATCTGTTCCAGAAACTCCCCAAATGGGCAGAGACATTATCCTGTATAATGTTGGTAATGATTAGTATGGAAAGTGCACTTGTGGGTTGGAAGATGACCTTTAGTAGTGACGAAATCGAAGTGTTCATGGAACATCTTAGCAACACAAACTATTCACATCGCTTGGCAGAGTTGCTCCTGAATATGTAGGAATAACACTTTCTTTTTTTTTAGAGGACCAGATGTTTTGGAGGCTCTCACGGGAATACAGTTTTCATCTCAACATAATGAGCAACAGTAGTTTCCAGGATCCAGCTCAGCTCCAGTGAAACAAATGAATCTTTCCACTGGCATAGAGAGAAAAAAGAGCAAGGTCTGAAGGCCCTCTATTTCAGCCAGACAAACAGCATCACCTCGATAGCACTGAGCCCAGCCTTCCAGGAGGAGCAGAGCATGGGAAATCAGGGACAACCTGATCACATCCACCCATGTTTCAGTTTGCTTCCAGGTTGCTTGCAGTGTCTGCAGTCACCAGCATTTGCTTGAATTTCATCTCTTCCCTTCTACCCAAGAAATCACTCTCGCTGATGACAGAAATAACCATTTCCATAGCTGATATTGCCACATATTCATAATATTCTGACCCAAGACAAGATTTCCATCTGAGCAAGCTGGGAAATACATCCTCATCAAGCTACAAACTCTCCTCCAGACAACTATATCTTATTGGGACGGATATAAAGTGTGGAATATAATTCTTAAATGAAACGTTTCATACTAATTTTTTTTTCTTTATACAAGAATAACTGTTTTTTTTTCTTGTTTTGCATTACTATCACACTGGAGTACTGCTCAGTGTGATGTGCATACAGTTTTCTTTATATTGGATTTTAAATGTCTTCATCACTTTAAATCACTTCATCACTTAAAATCACTTTTACATGGCCTAAACATATCTTATTTGCTCTGAATGAAGAGAATTTTGGGCATTATTTCCCATGGCATGTTGCAACTTTGAATGTGGGGGCCTAGAATCAAAACAAAGTTTTAATTTTTTAACCAAAGGAGGAGATGAAGAAAGAAAGGCTCTCTCTTTTTAAGATTGAGAAAAGAAAATTTATAAATAAATAAATAAATAGTCCTTTCCATTTTACAAAGAAAATATCTGCAGATTTTTGCTGAGATCTCACATTTCAGCTGATTTGAGCTGAGTTCAGTTGAGGCTTCTGAAGCTGTCAAAAGAGGCTGATACATAGAAAAGTCCTGTACATTTGTACTACAAGCAACAAAGTTGGAAGACGTGGGGGAAGGAAGCAAGAATGCTTTGACATATTCAGCAGTCACTCATTAAACTTTGACCACAGGCCTTACAATGGCTTCTACTTGCCTTACTGAACAGTGAGATGCTGACCTAGATCAAAAACTCTTCCACAGACAGTAATAAAATTTGAGACCCATGTCTTAATATAGTGTCTGTTTTCAATGGAAATATTAACAGACCATCCCATATCCCAACCTACCTTGGTCACACAATGCTCATACTATTCCTTTGTTGCATTATGCTGCTGCCATTCCCCTGCAGCCAGGAATAGCAATGCCATGGCAGCAATGCACCTCACTGGGGTTAAACTAAAGTGTTTTTGCTCATGTGGTGGGAAACAGAAGTAAAACTCAACTTCCAGCTCCCCTCTCTACCAGGTATGTACAAATCTTCAGAAAGGATTACCCACAGGTTAGGTGTGAATTGATCTATCACTTTTTTTCTCACTGGCATTGTTACTCACTAAAATAAAATACTTGGGTTTAATTCAGTTAACTTCTGTAGAAGCTCCTTACAGAGTGTCAGGCTCATAATCCGAAACTTTAATGCACTATACAAAGATGCTAAACCATTCTTCCTTACGGAGGCTGTTAAAGTTCTAAAGTGGGGAGCTTCTGACTTCTTGTAACTTAGCATCACATAAAGTCACATAGGGTTCAATGGTGTTCTCCAACCTGTTTAGAATATAATTACAATGCTTAAGGAGTTGAACAAGTTGCATAAGTTAGCACAAAGATAGCATCTACAGCACTTTCATTATAGTGCTACCTACCCATCTACAAATATTTATGAAAATGTAATGCAGCTAACAATAAAACTGCATCTGATGCTCTTTCTTTTTGTAAGTGCATATAAGCATGTGGAAAGAAAGAGTGAATGTACGCATTTATGTGCAATTTTTTTCATTTTGTTTTGAAACAACTTCTTGTCAGGGTGTTTGAATAGTCCCTTGGAGCCTTTATTTTTGAGAAAAGCGGATTGTGTGACAATAACAAACATCAAGTTACTGTTATTTAACAAAGTTGGTTAAAAGTAATTCCACAGCCATCATATTTCCAATTAAGTTTGAAAGTGATGCATAACAAAAGGACTCAGAGAAACTTTAATTTCATATTCCAAACTAGTTAGTCCTATTTGTTTGCTTTGAATCACTCATTTCAATAAGGTGAAAACTTGTGTTAATCCTCCATTCATCAGTTGCCTGGGTGCGTGTGAAATGAGTCATGTGGACAAAATAAACCGCTGCTAGCCGCAATATTCCATTGTCCTCTAAGCTTCTTCAAGGGGCCTCTTCACAGGTACCAAAAAGCCACTCTAGACACTTCACATATTTTTGAAGATCCTCCCTTTTTTCACATCGCACATTACTCACTCATTGAAGAATAGCGAAAAATGGGCATAAAATGAAGGAAAAGCTGAAGTGGGCCAAACTCATTTTCTACACAGAAAGAGATAATTGGCACTGCAGTAATTTTGGAGAACTGAATTAAATGAATAAATTGTGACATGGGAAAAACTGAAAAGGACAACAGTTTCCTGGCTTGCACATAATGGTTACTTTGGGCAGCATTTTTCCTGGAGACCAATTGATAAAACAGGACAAAAATGTTTTTCCCATTAATTGCTTTCAAACATTGTCCTGCTAAATGCCCAATTAAAAGGTAGAAGTGTGAGCTTCTTTTTTGCTTATAATGACCACATATTGGGGGAAAAAAAATCAGTAGCAACGTCCTAGCATTTTCTTTTGTGGATGTGGAATAAAAAGATCAATGGAAAAAGGTTCTTAACTTACCTTAAACTAAAACAACAGCCTCAAAGCCTGCAGGGCAGTGAGGGGGTGAGGATGGGGAGGTGAATGGTGGGGCACAGACACTATCACTGCTCTATGTTGAGACTATCATTTATTCCCCAGCCCTGAAAAAAAGATGGCACTACTCATAAACATAAGTTCATAAATTGCCTATTGGGATTTTGAATGAAATATAAATGGGATTATTGCATGTCCAAGAAAGAAATAGTAGATGTGTACAAAAATGTTACACCAAAGCTTTTCCACAGTTGATTTTTAAAGTACATCTTCAGTAAAGACATGGTTTTCTGACTGTTAAAAATATTCTAATGCATCATACAAGTAAATGACATTGGAAACATTATTTTTGAGATAACTGCACTAAATTAAAAGTAGATTAATTCATCACCTTCCATTAATGATGCTACTTTATATCTTCAAGAGCTGTCATTGTCAGTCAGCACTGGAAACATTCATTTCTTGTTGCAATAGTATTTTTTACAGAAATTCGTTGTCACAAGGAAATTCCTCTGTTTTAGGTGAGAGTAACCTAAATGTAGTAAACTCATTTTGAGAGGAACATCCTACAACAAAGTATTTTTTTTCTGTCTGTAACTCAGCTGCACATCAGTAATGTCTATATGATCTATATGTCTCACAGTGATTGACAACTTCTTGCAGGCCATCATGAAAATTCATTGCAGATCTTGAACAGAAAATCCTCTGTAAAGAGCTTTCACTAGGCTACACTGCATGTGCACACCACTGCATATAAACCACTGGCAGCATGTGTCCAAATCCACCTGATCTCTTGCAGAAAGAAGATAAGCAAAGCAAAAATCCCTTTCTAGCAGAGACAGCCACACAGCCATCGTGCCAGCATTGGTGGCCCACTCAAAGCCATTTCTAAGCCAAAGAAAAGAAAGTTTCTGAGGATATTGAGAGTACAGTGACCCTACAAATTTTCCCTCTCAGCAATCTAAATGAAATTTTCAATCTTTGTCACAGAAAAGAGATCAGTCCCTTCAGGGCAATAGATTTCATCTTCTTTCCTGAGGCACTGATTAAGTGAAGTGCTTAAGCACCTGAGTGACTATAGGCACAGGAGAGATTGCACTGAGTCAGTTAAAAGTTAGCCAAGTGCTGAAAAATACCTTGCTAAGGGAAAGTTGCTATGCAGAGCTATCTATTAACAGGATCACAAGTCAAAGAATACCTCATGGTTCTACTGCATTTTTTTGCAGTATTCACTAGTATTCAATTATATGGAACAGATCCTGCTCACAGTTTTAAAACTATTAGGTTTTAAAACTAATAGGAACAATTAGGGGGGGTTGGAACTGCATGATCATTGAGGTCCCTTTCAATCCAAGCCATTTTATGATTCTATGATTCTATGATATTGCATGATTTGTTTTGGGCAACTTCTTGAAGAGACAAGAAAAATCTAACAGCTGTCACCTAAAGGTGATGCCAACACCTAGGGACAAGGAGAGGACAAGGAGAGCCCTGACCATGACACTACAAAGCTCCCAGCAACACTGGCTGGAAAAGACAAGGAGAATAGAAAGGGTGTGGGGAAAGGAGACCTTCCCTCCCGGAACATCTCACAGCAGCTCTGTATAACTCCCTTTCTTAAAGGTTGTTTTTTCCTCCATCGTAGATTGACATCACTGCTTGTGTCATTTTTACTATGCATGACTTGCATGAGATGATCTGCATTTAAAAGTAATGCGTATTTTCTGTTTCTGAAACACTCTAATGATGATTTTAAAATGTTTAATATACAGTCTCCAAACTTCATGCTTTGCCATGTTTTGCTCTCAACCAGTTGAAACACCTTTTGAAGGTTATACATGAGTGAGCATCTAAGTGAAAATTTATTAAGCATACAGTGAGTGAAAGTCCACTGGCAACTTATTATTAAGGTCTCCTGTATCACCAGATCCATTATACACTGATTTCAAACTGAAGAAGGCTGAATTTACATGTACCTTGTGTAATTTACATGTACATTGTATATCAATAATAACCATAACAGATACTAAAATTATTGCATTTTCTTAACAGTACCTTGTAGGTTATTATAGTTTCTACAGGAATGTAAAACAGATATCTTATGTCACCCAAGAAATTTATAATTTTTTTTAATGTCCCTGCTACTTTAAATGGAATTAGTGAAGGTTGTATGCTATTCTCAGCCATCATCCATCAGAATTTACAGTCAAATTGATTAAAGTATTACTTATCTTAACTACTGTTGACCTATTTTCTTTCAAACCTGTCATACATGTATATAAGATAAAATATACAGTTTACAGAATTGTATATTTATATGGGCAAGGATGAAAATTTGGCTTTTAGAACACAATAAACCAGCTGGTTATTTCTAGAAGAGCAACTTTTTGAACACTGAGAAGATATAAAAGGGATGTACATAATTTTAACACGATACTGGATAGTGGAAGATTTTTTGGTTACTTATTTTTTTTCCATCCTCCATAGCCTTCTTTTTCACATTGTTCTCTTTCCTATATTCCTTCTATTCTTCTTTTAAACACAAGTCATAACTCTACCTTTGCCTTTTATTAGATACAGGGAAAAAAGTC